CAGATCTTGAGGCATCTTCCTCCTTGTTTATGTGTGACTGGGAGGCAGAGCAGCTGCTGCTGCTATTGAGGTTTTTCACTTGCTTGTTATGACTCTGAATGAGTCAAGATCTCTACAGGGATCTTTGGTGTATCTCTGCAATTAACATAAATATAGGATGTGCACCTCAGTTGTCTAAATGTGGGAAATGTTGTACAATACTGTAGGGTTTGCCTGTTTATTTTATTTTTTTTAATTGAAAGTAGACTGTATTCAGGGTGATGGGTGGCAGATAGTAGTCTGTTATGTTTGGTCATGATGGGTGTATCCATTGGCTAATGCACCCGTGTTGTGAATAATGCTATTTTGGGGGAAGATAAAAGCTAGAAATGAAAGTCTGTTATGACATTGCATCAGTGAGAGCACGTGTGTAACAAAGATACAAAGATATAGTTGTTTTTAAGCACTGTGAGTTTTATCAGTCTGGATGTGCCTCCTATAAAACCATAGTGCTATAATTGAAAAGATCTTAGAAGAGAACAAGAGAATGAAAATCTACATCTCTAGTATTTTTTTTTCAGTGCTGGTTGGCTAATGCACCCATGTTGTGAATAATGCTATTTTCGAGGAAGGTAAAAGCTAGAAGTGAAAGTCTTTTATGACATTGCATCAGTAAGAGCACATGTGTAACAAAGATACAGAGATATAGCTGTTTTTAAGTACTGTGAGTTCTATCAGTCTGGATGTGTCTCCTTTAAAACCACAGTGCTATAATTTGAAAGATCTTAGCAGAGGACAAGAGAATGAAAATCTGCATCTCTAGTATTTTTTTTTCAGTGCTGCAGTGTCTTTCCTAAACTAGCATTGTAATCTGAGGAGAATGGGTACCAAATGTGCTACATCTTGGGTACTTCAAGCTGTTCCTCTCCCAGTTTAAGCACACAGGAATGTCTGTTCCCCCTCTTTCCCAGTTCTTAATTCTCCCTGTCTCTTCACAGATGATAGTTACATCATGTTTGTTTGGGATTTGAAAGGGATTGGATTCAAGTGTGAAGGCTTTCTATTCCCCTGTATCTCCTGCAGTGACTCCTAAGAAAAAGTGCTAAAGAAGCCTGGGGATCCCTCTCAAAGGATTTCTCCTAAGTCTAGGCAAAGAGTGAGCAGTAAGGAGGTAGAGCTCCTAAACACACAAGAACCTAAGGAAATAGAATGCTCATAACTGATGTTTGACTTTGAAAATTTCAAGAATAGCTTTATACTTGGGATTAAAACAGGTTTTTTTTCCCCTTTATTTTTTAATTACATTCAGATCAGTCAATGAACAGAATTAAATGATGAACTTGTCTGCCACTGCCATGGACAGGTCACACTTGTAGTCTTGTGTTATCTGTCTTGGGTTGAGAGGTTAACTCATGGCTGCTTCAGAAGGATGATTTTGATGAATGAAAAAGGCTTTGAAGATGCTTAGCATGGTCTTTGGATTTTGGTTGGTTTGTTTGTTTTGTTGTTATAGTTTTGGAATGTGTAATGAAAATTGTGCTACTTGTACTATCAACTTTTTTTTTTTTTTTAACTTTATGAGTGCTGCCCATGGTGTAGCCTCTGCAGCAGTATGTTGTTCTTACTTGAATTTATTTTGCTTAAATTCATAGAGAGTATATGATGAAGAAGTGGAAGAGCCTATTCCCAAAGCTGATGTTGGAGACAAAACAGAGCAGGTAGCTACCTTAAGTTGCAGTGAACACTAGCATCATATTTGCAGCTCTTGTCTACCTTCTTGCTTTCAAGCTTCTTTTGCAGCTGTTTACAGCTCATGAACCAAACTGCTTTCTTTATCCTTGAAATCTTCCTATTAGATAGTGCATATCATTCAATAAAACATACATAAAGTTGATAGTACCATTAGAGGCTGCTACACTATATCATCTACTAGACTCCCCCCACCTTGATCTTATATCTAGTAGGCACATTGTTGTTTAAAAAATAAAGTATCTTTTTTATTAAGAGCATGGAGGCCTCAAACTATCTTAACAAATACAGATGTAGTGAACAGTAAAAGTAGAATCTGATGGCACATCACAGGGATATAAATTTGGAGAATGTATTTTTGTATTGATATATATATGTATGCATATCTTATAATTTAATGCTTTATACCAAGATTCCTTTGCCACCTGGGAGCACAAATAGGACAATACTGTGCTGGCACAGATGCTTAGAATGTCTCTGTGTTTGGGTTTGATAAAGATGAATTAAATAAACAAACAAAAATTTGTTGAAGGTACTTCTTTTTTTACATGTAATGAAATTGCTCTCATCATACTGATTTGAAGCTAAATTTTTTTTAATGCATATTGAGTTACTGAGTTTGACCAAAATGTAATAAGAATGTGTTGTTGGTGTTACTAAAGGAAAAGACCCGTGAGCAGAAGGAAGCTGATCTGATTCCTAAAATCCAAGAAGCAGTGAACTATGGGTTGCAAGTTCTGGACAGTGCTTTTGAGCAGCTGGATATCAAAGCAGGCAACTCTGACTCTGAAGAAGAAGAAAGTAACGGAAGGCTGGAACTGATACTTGAGCCCAAGGTACAGAGACATCTTCTTGTGGGGGCGTGGGGTTTGCATTTTGCTGGACTCGCTCTTCACTGCTGTTAGTGGTGTCACTGCACTAATGTGCAGCTAATATAAGGTATCCCAATAACAGCATTTGGTTACTGCATCAGAAGTAGAGATGCCCACGTATTGAGCTCTTGCATGTGTAGCTTGCTTGCCTTGTAGTTGGGCTGTCATTAAGGCACTCCTAAAGGGAGTTGGTTCAGTGGCAGAGAACTTGGAAAGTAAAGCCTGAATTTTGGGTAGAATGGAACCTTGTAATCTCATGCTTTTTAGGTAGAAACCATGTATTTGTAAGTGGGTTTTATTGTCCCAATAATTAAGAGTGCTAGAAGCACCAGTTCGGGTAAGATCAGTATCTGCCAATTTGTGCAGGGATATTTACACATAAGAAACATGCTGGAACCATACAAACAGAAATAAGAATAAATCTCCTCTGACCTATGCAGTTGCACCATGGTGTACCGCATGTCTGGTAGGTCTCTCTTGAGTTAGGTTTGTCTGGTAGGTTTCTCTTGAGCTAGGTTTATATTTTCTTATGCTGAAATAAGGGTTGCAAGACTTATCTTAGGGAGCAATGTAGAGCTGTTCCTAGATGTCAAAGAGACCTTATTGTCTTTTTGTTGCCTTTTTCCAGGATCTCTATATTGACAGGCCTTTACCTTACTTAATTGGCTCTCAGCAGTTCATGGAACAAGATGATGTTGGCTTGGGAGATCTCTCTAGCGAAGGTGGGTGCAGTGTTACCTTTTATTTCTGTGAGACTACTTTTTTCCTAATGTGAAATTTTCATCTGTTTTAGCGGAATAGTGAGGGGTCATAATGCACAGCATCCTTGCATATATAGAGGCACACTGTAATTAACTACAGGAAAATGTGCAGCATGTTGTAACACTCTCCCACCTGGCACACACAGTGTGTCGTCAGTAACTAGTGCTCCTTGTGTTAGAAGAGCTAAAGTGCTGAATTTCAGCAGCCTCTAAACCTCTTTCAAAACAGTCTCTTCTCCACCTTATTTTTGGTTCTCTTCGCAAAGCCTCTAAAGTCACAATAGATATGATTGGTGAGCAGAGAATTTCAATGTGCAGATGTCATGTCTGATATCTTAACTTCTAACTTGAACTTCTGTTAACTTTTCTGTTTTTCACTTTAATAGAAGGGTCAGTAGACAGTGATCGTGGAAGTGTAATTGACAGTGAAGAGAAGGATGAAGAGGTAAGTGAGGGAGAACTGCTCTGGAGAGATGTTATTTTGCATAAGCATTTTTGGGTCCTGGTTAGGTAAGGCCATTAGCTATTTTGCTGTTGTCAGTACTGTCTTGAGACCCCACCAGAACAGTGTCTACTCCATAGGTTTTTCCCCTTACTATTCTTATGAAGTATTTTTTTTTTTCTGCAGCCTTTCAAAAAAGCAGTAAAGGTGTTGTCTGTAACTGCTATCTGTACCAAGAGATTTTAATGGAGCATTTTATTCCAGTCCAACTTATTTTATTGAAGCAAAGTAGATGCTTATCAGGAATTACGGACAGGAATTGCGGAGAAAAATGTGTGTTATATTATGTGTAGATTATGATAGTGAAGAATAAGATGGAGAATAACAAGAATAATTTTAAAAGTTTGACACGTGTCAGTGATATGCCTCCAGGCATTGCCTCATAAAATACACTGCATTGGACTGTGTTTTGCCAGCCTTTGCTGGGATATGTCTACTTTCTAATTTGTACTATGGAAGCAGTCTTTTTCCTGAGGAATTTATTTTTTCCTTTCACCAATTAAAATTAAATCATTTAAGTTACTCAACTGCCATTTCAAACAGAGCTCTCACTTTTTGCTAAATCAATAATAGGCAGCTGTGTTCATACAGGCTGTAATGAAGTGATCTGAATGTCCAAAGCTAATCAGATTCAGAGCTTGCAAACCCTCTTCCTCAACTAATGGACAGAGTAATGCATAATACTTGTCTTTGGATCTGTTGTGTTCTAGGAATCAGATGATGAATTTGGAAACCCTAGTGAAGATGATGCAAAGACGGTATGGTCATATGCCCTGATACAAGCAGAGAGACTTTTTACTTTTGACACAGTGAGGAAGGAGGAAGGAGGAGATGAGAATTTTAAACAACTGACTATTAAAAGACTTGGTTAAGCCTGATTTGTATAATTTTGTGTGCGTGGGTTGTCCTGACCAGATGGCAGTGGCACTGGCATTATGAAATTGAACCTGAGTTGGGCTTAGAGATGTTTGCAAGCCATGTGGAATGGCATTGCGTAATGTCCCTTTTCCTCAAAAGTAGCTTTGGAGCCCTCAGAAGTCCAAGAACCTGTGGGCAACTAGGCTCCTGCAGTGATATTGTATCTATAATTAAAATTTCAGACTTTCACTGCAGGAAGTAGGAGACATGTATTTTCTGTCATTCTGCCAATCACATTAAGACTAACTCAAGGCAGTATAGTTCTTTTTGTTTTGTTTATTTGTTTTTATACCAGTTGAGCTCATCATTCCTGAGTTAAAGCTAAATGCTAGGCCTTCACAGGGGAGCAATTAATAAAGGAAGCTGCACAAGCAAAGCTGTTTAGGCCTGTATGTGCTGGCGGTGCACTGCTGGTGATGAGTTCCTCAGTGCCCTAGGCTGCATCTCTGACCCAGAAACATTCAGTGACACAGCACAGGGCTGTACTGCAGAATAGAGCAAGTTGCTTGGAGCTAGAGGCACTCTCTCCTTACCTCAAAGGTTGTAAAGTACCCCAGTTTGGCTGAATGTTTCCTTCCTCCCAGTAAGTTTGCTCTGAATATCTTATCTTAGCAGATGGAGTTTTGTGCTTGTGTCGTTGTTTGAGAACACAATCATGTGTTACTGTTTCTTAGAGGACGGCACTGATGAGTGATGAAGATGATGATGATGGCTGTGACCTTTTTGACTCTGAAAAAGAGGAAGATGAGGATGGAGAGTTAGATGAAACCACAAAGCCTGTAAGTAATTGCTGCTGCCCTGAGAGGGGGAGGTTTAATTTCCTTCATGACTTCAGTGTGATTATAATGATAGTTCCCAGTTACCTAGAATGGGATTTTATAGAGAGGGCCTGTAAGGAACTTGTATGGTATTTTAATGTGGATGGTCAGACATTGTGCCTATAAAATACAGGATTCCTGTCTCAGAAGCTGGCATCAGCACTGACTTTAAAGGACCTTAAAAATTATCTGTTGTGTTTGTGTATAGTAGATAAGTTCCAGCTTGTCCTGCTCCCAAAACAGAAAGACACTTGAATATTATAGGGCTATAAAGGATTAGAAACACATTGTTTTTCTTGATGAATGTGTAATCTCTTAACAGTTATCTTAATATAAAGCAGCATTGCCTATTCTGATGGCTTCAGTCAAAGTCTAGACAAAAAATTGTACAGATGAGGCAGTAGAATATAGTATTTGTTATTACAGCTGGGTATTGGGAAGTACTTCATAAAAAAGCTGAAAGACCCTTTATTGTGTCAAAAAAAAAAAAACCCACAAGTGTTGTGCCATGAGCCCCTTTCTTTGTATCGGGTCAGAAGCACCATTCCTCTCTGAGTTAATCAGCTTGAAATGATGAGCTGGGAGTGTGGAGGGCTAACATTTTTTTTTTCTGGGAACTCTACCTCTATTTCTAGGAATCTGTCAGACTTGTTAGTTTAGGTGACTAAGTACTGGGAGTTTAAATATCTTTATTTCATCTCTACACCACTTTATTCCTCACCAAGTTGTTAACAGGTTTACAAATAAGAAATATGGTGCTCTTTGTTTTCCCTTCCCACCCTAGAAAAAGAAAAGACCAACGTCCTTTGCAGATGAACTGGCAGCCCGAATCAAAGGAGAGGTACCAGTCAAACAGGATGAAGAGCGAAAAAAAGTTAGCTCTTCCATTTCAGTATGTGCTCGTGACATAGTGGGGAACTCCTGAAAGTCTATGTAGCAGTATGGGAAGTCATGTAGATCTGTTATTTGTGCCTTTATTGAAGGGTGAAAATCCCAAAAGAAGGATTAAAGTTGCAGTTACAACATACAGTTTTGTGCTGTAAGAAAGACTTTTTTTTACCATAAGTTATATGAATAAATTGGAGTCCACTAGGATTTGTAGTGGAAAACTCGTTGATTTGGTGAGAGAAACCACTCCATAAACATACACATGGTAATGGAAAGGAAAATCCAACCTGATTGTCCCTCAGCACAAGAACTGAATGTTTGACCATGTTTACATTCTCCCTGTTTCAGGTAAGTGAAAGCCACTGGTCATTGTAATCTCTTTCCTTGAGCTCTGAAGTGGAAAACCTGCCAAACAATAGATTGGTGTTCTCATGGCTTTTTTTTTTTTTTTTTTTTTTTCCTTCTCTTCTTCTTCTCCCCCGCTTTTCTCTTTGTGGATTAAATATACTGTGTTTCTTGAGGAAATTTCATTGCTAATGTTCTCAGTGATATTTTAGACTAAATATTTTATCTTTTGTCTTTAAAATACCTATTTCAAGCTGTTAGTTGTGCAGCAAAACAGCAGTTGCATATAGCTGTCTGAAACAGAGTTGGCAAATGTTTGTGAGCCTGCTTTTGACCTGTAGCTTATGAGCATGAACAGGTAAAAACCATGTGAGTTTGTTCTTAACTCCATTAAAACAATCAAGTTAGATTTGTGGATATCAGAGTATAAAACCGAAAAGCTTACTGCCTTATTCATCTATGGGGAAATCTGCCCACTGAAATAACCTTGGGGGAGGAATAAGAAGAGAGGGAATAAAACTGTCTTCACCTTCTTAGGTAACTGGATTAAGCCCTAACGTTGTGTCCTGAGCCATTTGAGATGCTCAGATGTTTCGTGTACCCTTTGCAGGACCTGTACTGTCTGGAGTGCTGCATTACTATCAGCGCTTGTGTGGGCAAATGTACTGAACTAGTAGTGACATAATGATGCCATCACTTTTCAAAGTGCCAATTTTAGAAGCTACAGTTTGTGGCATTGCTTCAGCAGAGTGCTATATAGGAAAAGATGTAGATCAGCTTGCTTTGGTTATTTAGATTCTTCTTAGTATGGATTGGTCACAGGTAAAGATGGACTATCTTGTTTGTGCTTTGAACTTTTTTTCTTAAAGCCCTGTCATCAGAGACCAAAGTGAGGAAAAATCTGAAAGAGAAGAAAGAAGTTAGAGTTCCATCTGATGGTAGGATTTCCTTCTCTTTGCTTCTGAATTGCTAGTTGGATTGGAAGGAACTGCTTGGGAAAGTGCAAGTTATATACTGTAGAAGCAGGGTGGGATATCACCAGGCTTGTATCCTAGGCTTGTAAAACAAGGTAAGAAGCAGGCGCAGCAAGAGTTTCTCCTCAGATGTGGGCTTGTAGACCAGCCACAGACAGAGAAGCTGCTATAGACAAAGTGGGTTATATCATGTTTGTAAGAGCAAGTGCTGATTTTGTTTGTATCTTAAATCCTTTTTCCCGCCACTTGATAGTCCCACCACAGTTCTGGCTCTTGTGTTTTCTAGATGATGAAGATGACATATTCAAGCCCCCCAAGCTGACTGATGAAGACTTCACACCTTTTGGTTCCAGAGGTGGCCTCTTCAGTGGTGGGAAAGGCCTCTTCGATGATGATGAGGAGGTGAGAACACTGGAGAGGATGGCAGTGGAGATCCCTATGTGTGTCCTCCTTTAAAAAACGTCAACAACAAAAATAAACAAAAAGCCTACACAGATTCCAACCTTGGGAAAGTGGGAAGAGGAAACAACACTTTGTTGCTGGGTAACTTTGAAGCATCTTGGGACAGTTTAGCTTTCAAGGTGGAAAAAAGAACCACCCAAGCAAGCTACCTGTTTTGTTTGTTTGTTATTCTTGTTTGCTCCTCTGCAGTGAACTGACTGACAATCAGTAAGTGTAAATTAGAGTAAACTATATTTTAGAAGATAGAAAGCTACTCTTCTGACTGTGTGTGCTCAAGTGAACTCTTGTTTGAGTATCTAAAGCTTATATATGCAGATATACTGGTTACCTGTCTTGTCTTGGCTGAAGTGGATATTTAAGGTATGAATATGGGCATTTCTGCCTTTTGTTGCAGTTGACAATTTTTTTCCTTTCTTTGTGTCTTCCTCTACTATCAGAGTGATCTTTTTGCTGAAGCGCCAAAAAGAGAAGACTTAAAAGAGCAAGAGGAGCGAGTTCCAATAAGTGAAGGTAAGAACGAATTTTTGCTTCCTGTAGTCCTGTGTATGCAGTGCTTTATCTCACTTAACTGCTAGGGTTTTGTTTCCAAACTAGTAAGTCTGAGGGAGCAATTGCTCTCTATCAAAACTGGGAAATAGAGGAGAGTTGCCAGCACGTGCTTTTCCTTGAATTTTAAATGCAAGTGTTTAAAGTGCTCTTTCTCTTGCAAACACCTTTTCTTATGGAGTTTAAAAAATGGCTTTATTGATGGTGCCAGAGCTTACTGCACGCATTGCATTGAGTTCCTGATGCTGAGGAATACTTTCTAAACTCCAGTGGTGGGTTTAAGCAGGGACAAGATTTCTTCTATTAGATGTAGGTATGTTTAAGTTTCATATTAGCTACTTCACTAGACATCTAAGGAATCGGACATGTTCTGTACCACAGCTGCTTTTACTGAAGGATTACACTCATTGAATTTTCAGATACGAGCTTGGGGACAAAATTGCTGAATGTTTTTGAGGTATTAAAAGTGTGAATGTGTACTCTTGTAAGTAATGCTGTTGTGTAGATGTGTGTCATATGTATAAGCTTTGGTGTCATAGGCTGGCTTTAATTCAGTGAAAAGAGCTAGACAGCTCTAATAAATATCTGTAAAAACAGCAAAAGTTCAAGGTGAGTGTTTAATGAGTTCTGGGCTGTTGAGCAAAAAAAATGGAGCTGAGAAGACTGCTCAGATTGTTCTCTCTGTGGTAGAATTCTGAAGGCTTTGGCAGCATACAGAAAATGCATCCATCCTTAAGCTTTTGGTTTGTATTGTACTTCCTGTGATTTCAGCGTCCTCCACAAAGTCCTTAAAGAAAGTTCCTGCAGGTGCAGTGTCTCTGTTCCCAGGTATGATTCATTCAATAGCAAATTGCTTCATGCACAAAATGCGCTTTTCTTTAAACTGTACCAAGAAGTTTTTAAAGAAGAAAAATATCACAACATTGCAGCACTGCATTGCTCAAGCACGCGCTTAATGACAAATACAGGTGCTTCTACCATGCTAAGCCTAATCTGCAGCATACTTCATGGATAATAGATCTGTCATGGTTCTGAGAGTAGGTATTGGCAGATGCTAGCTGCTGTCAGCCTCCAATGTTATGCCAGTTTACTCCTCTTGTTTTTTCTGTTTTTGGTTAGGAAGATTTTCTTACATGGGGAGGAAGCAGTCCTACAACCTGCAACTAAAAATGCAGGTTTTAATTTATTTGTGCTAAAAAGCCTGTTTCTTATTTGATTTAAACCTGAGGAACAAAAATAAACATATATCCCCAGTCATTTTGAATCTACTGTGTTGCAGTAGTGTTTTTGGCTCTGTGTAGAGTCTTTGCTTGATGTATAGGAATTACTTCATCTTTTTAGTTTTGTCCTTTATTAAGAATGATCCAGTTTAAAAATCTTACTTTTGTTAATTGAGCCTTCAGTCAGCACATTTCTTAGAATAGGAAAGATAAAAACCACAGGTGTTTTACTCCAGGATCAAACTCTGACATCAGCAATGAATGTTCTATGTAATTATAAAACTTGGTAGAAAACTCTAAAATAGCAATTGTGACTTTATCTTGGAGATACTGTTGCATAAGCTGTGAATTTCTACATAATTCTGATGCTATGTATTACTCCAGTTTTTGATGCCTTGTTATATGTATCATTTGTTCAGTCTTCAGTTGCTCCCCTGAGTAACTTGTAGACAATAGACTAAAGTAACCAGAGAGAAATCAAGACTGAGGCTCATCTGCTATTTGAACTTGCATGATGAACAAGTTTGCAGTGGATGTTTTGTTTAGGAACTTTTTAAGAACAATTAACTAACCATATTCTGTGGCTGTGTAAATTCTGTGGCACTTTGTAACTGGGTGAGATGTGTGTATGGGGCATGAGTTTTTTGTTTGTTTGTTTTTACTAAGTTGCTGTTGTAATGCTCAAAATTCATGTAATTTGCTGTCTTTAACCAAACAGCAGCAATTTTACTCTAACATCAGCCTTTCAGTTAAGGGTCCCAAACATCTATAAATATCTATAAATAAGGAACAAAAAGACAGGCTTCTGATTTTAACAAAATGGCTAAAAATCTGTAGAGAGTCTACGTGGATTATGTGCATCATTGAAGCAGGATATTCTCACACCAGATGCAGAATCCATTTTGATCATTGCAGTATGTGAAGTGTGCAGAAATCTTGGGGCCAAACTTGTCCTCACACTGCAGTAGTAGTAGTGGTTTTGCAAGGGCAAGTACTCCTTTTTAGGAGGTCTTGGTCTTCTGTCCTGTCCTCATCCATCTTGCCATTTTTATTTGTCCCCAGTGGCATGGCTCACTGTAAGGTGCCATTCTGGTTTGGGAAATCCATCCAAACCTCAGTGTGAGACTGAGGGCTCCTCTACCTTGAATGCAGAACCTGGCCGGCGATCCTAGGGAAGATGGACAGGTTTGAGGAAGAAGTGATTATGTTATGAGCAAGTGACTGTTGTCTCTGGCTTGCATCTGTCAAGAGGTGCTAGTGCTTTGGTAAGGCAGTGATTGAGGAATTAGTGTAAAAGTTGCTGTGGTTGAATCTGCTTGCCTGGCTCCGGTTACTGAGGTGCAAGTCTAACTTTCTGGAAACTCCTCCAGTGACATGTGTGTTGTGAGGGGGTCATTTCCTCATCTGACCTGCAGGTGGGAGTGATGTGTTTAATTCCTCCGTAACTGTGGAAAAAGACAAGAAACCTGTGGCACGGAGTACAGAGAAGGCCCCCAAACAGCCTGCGAAAGTTGCTCTGTTTGATGATGATGATGATGATGATGACTTCTTTGGGACAACTAGGAAGCCTCCAGATTCAGGTACCTATATTTGGTGAAGAGTTAAACCTCAAAGATTATCAAAATTTGAATTTAGGAATCACTGAGTTACAAAATTCACACCAAGCACTTTGTGTTGCTGCTCATGCTCTCCCACTATTACTTAACCTTTCTGTCCCTTATTGTTGGTACTTCTGTTCTTGTAGGAGAAGTGGTTTTTGTTTTTTGTTTAAATTTAGATGGTGATTTGGAGATTTGGGGTGTGTGGTGGACAGGACTTGTTTATACATTCTGTCCACTGACCTTCCTGTCTTGAGAGGCTCCTTCTAAGACAACATTGAGATCAGACAATCATTTTTTATTATATTTTCTTATTATTCAGTCACTCTTGAGTCCCGATTCTCATCACTCCACACTGGCAAGTTTTAGAGCTTTAGAAATACTAGCTATTGGGAACTGCTGTGTTCAGGGACTTAGGGGTGCCAAATGACTACATGGTTTGACACTACAGCTTTAACGGGCTGCACTGTCTGTTACCAGTGATGTCAGGCAATGTTCAGTGATATCAAGTGAGTCATAATTTATTTTGTAAGCCTGCCTAGCTTTTTCTCTTAAAGATTTCCATTGATCACCTCTGAAGAATTGAGCCTCATATCTTCTAGAACTTGGGTACCTTGTCTGGGTCAGAGCTGGCTATTCTGTTCTAGTAATTCCCTGTTTGTTTTGTCTCTTAATGCAGTCAAGTCCACATCTGATCTATTTGATGATGATGAAGGTGACTTATTCAAGGAAAATCCTGTTGTTCCACCTGTGGCTGCCAGCATAACTAAGGAACCGGAAAGCCATAAGGAGACAGTCATGGAAAAAAAGGTATTAGTATAGAAATATAGTTTTATGGCTAGTGTTCTGAGATTTTTTTTTTCCTAAGCTGACATTATTCTACAGAAGAAAACTATGTGGAAGTGCCATATTTGAGAGGCAGAACCAAATTTGTAGGATCTTCAGTGGCCAGAGTGTTTCAGGGGTCCCTGAATATATTTTGCTTCTCAAATTTTGAGTTCCTTAAAGACTGTCTGTGACTGGTCAGTGGCTGGAGGATTTCATTAAGGCAGGATTTCAGTGAATGCAATGTAAGAAGTACCTGTTAATATGAGTTGTTCATTATATGCATGGCTGAGATGAATGTCAGTCTGACCTAAAGCCTTTGGAGGCAGCACTGTGTGCTGCAGATACCATGTTGGTACTTGTGCAGCGACCACAGCCTGGAAGCAGCTTAACTGGTAACTTGTTGCTTGTGGGGGAGGAAGGGTAAGTGTCACAGTGCTTCTAAGTATATGCAGTACTTCATGAATACTCAAAAGGGCTGTTTCAGCTTAAAGCTCTTGAATAGTAGAGTATTTCAGTTTTTCTTCTGAGTATGTAGCATTAGAGACCTCCTCCAGCCCCAAAGAGAGTCTTCCTTTTCAGAGTCTTGAGCAAAGCAATATTTCTGTTTCTTTCTATGTCAGAGACTATTTATGTTCACATGTAGAGTCATCAAAATATGAACTGATAGGAACTGAATTTGAGTGGTGTATGCTTATCACATTATATAAAGTATATCCGTGTGTGTTATATGTGTATATATGTATATGTATCTTCACTGTCCAAGGAGTGTATGAATGTAAGGAGGCACATAGTGAAAGGGGACCTTTTTACTCCTTTTACAAACCTGTAAGTGTACAGTCCTGGGGATGCCCAATGTAAATTGTTATGAGACTTTTTTCTTATCGCCCTATGAAAATCACCTAAGCACATCACCTAAAACCACCCTTTACCTCTCGTGCAATGCAAGAGTATCTGTTGTCATGGAGCAGGAGGTTTTTACAGAATACAGCTTATTAAATCCCATTGCATAGCTCTGGCTACACTGGACAAGCTCATTCAGAACATGAGTGTTGGACTTCCAGACTACAAGGTTGTGTCCTGGTCCTTTGCTGCTGAGCAGTGCCAGCAGCGTGCCTCCTAGAGACAAAAGATCATGGAATTTGCCTGCTCTTATTCATTCTAAGTTGGTGCTTATGCTGTGTTTTTTATTTATTCTAAAGAGTCAACTATCTTCAAATGAGGACTTCAAGCCTTTAGCTGAAACAACTCCCCCAAAACAGAGGGGCCTCTTCTCTGATGAAGAAGATTCTGAAGTGAGTATTTCTAATAAATCCCTACAGAATTCCTTGGGATCTGAATTGCTGTGACTTTATGGTATCTGTGGACTACTTGTTTGTGTGTAAGATTGGGAACTTTGACACCCAGGCTTCTGTTCCCAGCCCTCCTGAAAGTTCCTTCTTTCTCCAAGGGTAAAATTTCTGAGAACTTTTTCCCCCAGTATTAGAAACTCAAACTTGTCATGTCCACTCAATCATAAGCTGAAATGTTGAAGAGTTAAGAACAGCCAGTTGAGAGCAAGAATCATGAAAGAGTCTGTGTGTGTGTCTCTGTGTGCGACTGTATCTGTTATCTTGTGTCCTTGGCTTCAAGCTAGCAATTAATTGTAAAGCTGAGGGAGATTCCAGTGGAGTTGCAGGTGGTCAGGACATCTGAATTGGACAATCTTTCCTTGCTTCTTGGACACAATGCTCCTTTTTCTAAACGAAAGATGGGAATGTCACACTTAAGTGTTCAAAAAAAGAGCGGTGCTTTGCAAAGTAACTGTTTGTTTGTTTGAGCAGGATTTATTTTCATCAGCTAAAACTGTGAAATCCAAAGCAACATCTCTGCCCAGCAACAAGTCCACAGCAAAAGCTTCACTCTCGTTGTTTGATGATGATGAAGAGGTAAGTACCATTTCCTGATACTGGGTACATATATGAACCTTCCTGGATAGCCAGTTGTGAATGCAAAAGAAAGTATTTAAATACAAGTTTAAAACATTAAGAGTTTATAACTAAAGCTCTAAATTAGAGCACAAATTGTGTACATTGTGTACAAGTCCAGTGCATGAAAACAGACAGCATCCAGAGAGAGTGTGTGTGTGTGTGTGTGCTCTTCTGGATTCTTGGTGTATCTTTAGAATTTTGCTTTCGGTGCATCTCATCACTGGACTTAAGCTGAAGGAGATGATTCCTGTGGTATGGCTAAAGAAAAACAAACTATAGATTTGGTATAGTCTTGTAGAAGCTGTCTTACCCTGTCCCGGGGTACCTAGCCACACGGAATACTTGTTTCTTTTGTGTCTGTGATAGCTGGCGGATTCCTTTTTTTTTTTTTTTTTTTTTTTTTTTGGTTTTCTCTTGAGTTTCAGTGTGTAAAAATCACACTTTCTAGCCCAGCGAGTGAGATCAGAGCAAGGAACTTTACAAATCTGGATTGGTATCTTTTGTACCCATTCTCTGTCAGACACATGCTCCAGAGAACTTTCCACTCTGAACTTGCAGACTTCAGGAGGAGTTAATTTATTCCATAATCATAGCCTAGGGCGAAAAGGAGGTCTATTCAGAGCCATAAGATCTGGAACCTCAACAGACTTGAGGGATGAAAGTGTGTATGTGTGTGTGTTTATTGTTTTGTTTTTGAGGAGAGAGCTGTTTCCTTCTCTCCCTTCTTCTGGGTAGAAGCCATTTGCAGATGCACTTGGCAGCATAGTGAAACATTTTGTAGTACGATTAAGACTTCTGGAGTAGAGGTTCTGTAATGGAATTGAAGTGCAAGTTTGTTGCAGAAAAGCATAAATATGAATGTTAGGTGGAGAATGCAGCATCTACCAGTATTTATTCTGGTATCTGTCCAATAGTCTGCATGAGTGTTTTGGAGTGAAAAGCCTTGATTGTTGCCACTAGCAGTGGTTCAGCTTTCCTTTGTCCATCCTCTTAAAAGGCATTAATTCCCTATCTTATTATGCAAGTGCAGAAATTGTTCCTCATTATTTTAGCTGCTGTGCAGCGGATTTGTTGGGTTTTTGCCTTCTAGTCAAACCTTATGGTGGAGAAACTGTGGCTAAAACAAAGCTGTGATTTTAGAGGTTTCTGGTCTATCAAATAGTATGTGTGATACTCCCTGTACCACAATACTGTATCACACTTGACTCTCTTCAGAAAGGGTTCAGGAAACACTGTTTTTCTGCCCAGCTTGGCTCAACAGTGGGTGACAGCAGTCTTGCATGATGATGACTTCTCAGTTTTCCATCTTGGCTTTTTTTTTTTTTTAGGATCTCTTTGGTGTGGTGACTGCCAAGAAGCAACAGGCAAAACCTCTGGAAGAGAAAGCAAAACAGTCGGAACCACTCAAGAAAGCCTCCAGCTTATTGTTCAGCAGTGATGAGGAGGTACTGAAGAGTGAGATTTGCTTTAAAGGGGTCACTATATGTTTTATAATGGGCAAGTACAAAACTTGAGACAGGAACCAGTACTAGAACCCACTGCAAAACTTTCTTCTGTGTCCAAACGCCATGCTAGCTTTGTTTGCAGCTAAGGAAATTATATCATTCTTGGCTCAAAATTACTTAGATGCAGCCCAAGAAGTGGTCTATGCAGAAGGCATAAATCAGGATTTTTCAAGTAATTTACAGAAAAATGAATAACAAATCTTCTAAAATCTTGTCTGGAAGTCTTTGAATTAATTCATGTTAATACTATCTAGAACTTTAAACAACAACAACAACAAAATGCTCTTTTGCTCTGACTTCTTTTCAGTAGCTGTCCTGTAACTGCTTATTCACCAACTAGTAGTACCATTAGACTAAAGCAAGGCATTAATTTCAGGTAAAATGAAGCAAGTCCAAGCAATTCCCTTTCAGAAAGAGAGAGATGAGGAAAGAGACAAACCAGGTGAAGTGCTGGGAATAAGAAAATGGATCAGATAGAAAACTCTCCCAGAAATATATTTCTTCCTAATACAGTTGTTATTTTTTGACTTGATCAATAGATTGACTTGATTAAATGCTATCTCCAAAGAGAAAAAATACGGGTAAAAATTGCTGAAACTAATATATGCAGTTTCATGCCTACCATGCATGGCATGTGTTGTATTTCCTCATATGTTGCACTTTATTTAAATGGCACAGACCAGCTGTGATCTTACTTCTGCTATTCTGACCTTAATTTTGGAAAGCAGCTATAACAAGGAAGTGTGTGTATCCTGTTTTGTGGCACAGATACCATATGCCAAAAGGAGGTCAGGTCCTCTGTAAAGTTTGAACACTTTTGACTCAAAGTTCCTAATAGAAAGATAGGAAAAGAAACCAATAGAGGGATGCAAGGACTGCCAATGTGCTGAAATGCTTTTGCTTGTAGTGATGATGTGAAAGTGGCATTAACCAAGGTGAAAGAAACTTAAGACTTCCTTGTTTTTAAGGACCACTGGAATGTCTCCAAACCAGCTTTGCTTCCTTCTGATGATGACCGAAAAGAGGAACCTGCAAAACCAGCCAGCACCATCAGTCAGGCTAAAGCTGTGAAGAAGACAAGCCTTTTTGAGGAAGATGATGATGAGGATTTATTCGCAATCACTAAAGAGAGGTGAAAACCTTTGATGGGGAAAAGTTCTTCAGAACAGCCAATCATTGTTCTCAACCCTGAGAGATACAGACATACTTCAAGTGTTCTCCCATGTTACTGCTGCTAAGAAGGAAGTAGAGATGCAGGAATGGAAACAGTCTGGGCTGGGCTCTTTCACCTCTCTTTTATCTGTGTGGTGGCTTCTTTTTTTTTTTTTTCCTCTCACTACTCCAGAACTGGGCTCCTCAGTTCACTGCTTCTAATAGGGAATTCTGCTTGAACCATTTTCCTTTCCATTTCTGCAGAGGACCTTGCAGAGGAGGTTGGGAGAGTGGTAGAATTGCTGAGAAGTGAGGATTCCTTTACTTGTCCTTACATTGGCCTTCAGCTTTTTTCATCTCCCTCTCCCTCGCCACAGCCAAAGAAAGCCACAGAAAGTGTCACTGCTGTTTGAAGATGATGCTGTTAGTGGAGAATCACTCTTCAGCTCCCAGTCAGCGCTACCTGCTTCAGCTGCTAAAACTGCAGTGGTACTTCTCTTTTAAATCTCATGTTGAACATTAATCAGTTTTTTCATAGTGCGTCTTCCTTGCTAGAGACTGAGTATAGGCCCAGCTTCTTTTAGATGCTGGGAGTTCTAGCAAACTTGACATGATATCAGGGCACGCTGAATTCATGCATGTAAAACTTCTCATTACCTTTAGTGTAATGGAGATTCTGAAATCTCCCTGACCTCTACCACCAGATTTGTTCAGCTTAGGCTAGAAGTCCTTGCTGAGGATCTTCTGAGAGCTTGGACTGTAAAGTACCACTAAAAGAGATGGACTTCATCTTTTGTGTTACCATTCAAGCTGACCCTTTAAACATGTGTACAGGCTTTTTATTGGCCATTTGTTGAGGTTTATTCTGCCTCAAACTCAGCCCACTGTGTACTGCCTTTCTAGTGATGCTTTAGAATGAAAGGAATGCTAAATTTAATATGGCTGTGTGTTTGATGGGATCTCTTCCCTCCTCTTCTTCCTCCCCTGCCAGGGTTTCTATTTACCAGGCAAACAATTGTCACAGCCAGTAAACATTCCCCCTGCCCTTGCCCTTTTTAGATTGAGTCCAGTATGGGCTGAAAACAGAAAAAGAACTGCCCAACCCACAGTTTAGCTACTGGCAGCAGTAGGCCATAATGCAGTAATCTGGACGAGCTTTCCAAAACATTCCCTCTGAGCCTGAAAATGGTTCCTGGCACTTTTCAAACAGGCTTCAGAGCCTATAGTACTAAAAATAGAAACTCAAAATTGCAATGTGCCATGGGAATAAAGTGGGAGAGAGAAAACTTGTGGGCAGTGTCTTAGACTGACATGTCAAGCTGAGAGCCTACTGTATACTTACTTCCTGTATATCCATCAGTTTTGTATCAACATCATTCTCAATTTTGCAGGAGAAAGTAAAACCAGCAAAAGCACCACCTTTGTTTAATGAAGAAGAAAAGGAGGAAAAGGAAGATGTGCCAGACACAGCAAAGTCTAAACAGGCAGAAGATACGCTGTGGTGTTTAGATGAGCCTGGAGCAGCTCCTGTATCTGGAGGAGCAAATGTTGCAGGGCACCAGACAGATGAAAAAGTGAGGGATTTTTCTTACATTAATCAGAAGCTTGGCAAAGATTCAATTTAAAAATCTGTTCATTGCTTTGGGGTAGAATTGTTTTTTCATGACTGCCTCTCCTAATGCTAAGGAGAAAAGACTTGGTTTCTCTGTTGCAAAATCACTTGTTGGCCAGTCAGCCAGCAAATTGAATAAATGACATTTTAAATTTGTTTCCAAAATGGCATAGACAGGAGTTATCTCTCTCTCCTTTTTTTTTTTTTTTAAGACTGAGTAGTTTTATTCATGTGTATAGATCTCTGCTTCAAAAAACAGCATATACTAATGTGTAGGCTTTGCAACTTTGTTATTTGATCATACCATCTGATAAATGTAAATGGATGTAAGAGTTGTGGAACTGTGGTTTTAGTTGTGATTTTTTTCTAGGCAGTATTGTTTGCAAAATGAAACTTGAGCACATGATTAAAAAAGCTTCTGGAGAGCTGACTCCTGAGCATGCTTCTAAGTGACTGTTGGAGAATTACCAGCTGATAAATGATAGTGTTATCATGCTTTATAACGTTAGTGTTATCATGCTTGGTAAAGGGTTTTGTGAGTACCCTTAGGGTTTAGGTAGTGCTGCTCATTTTGAAGAATCTCAAATTGTATGAACTAGGTATACTGGAGAGAATAGCAAAGCTGCTGAATGTAGCCTTGTGCAGCAGATGCAACCTGGTGTGTGTATATATGGAGAGGAATGCTCATGCAGCAAGGTACTTGTAGTGCTATGTGTAGGATGGAAGAGGAAACTTGTATTTCCATCAGAACTTTAAAGTGTGTTCCCTTCTTTATCTATTATAGTGTCTCTTGGTTATCTGCATGGTTATCATGCATAGGAAAAATGAATTAACTTGTCTGCTATGATACTGGATTGTAGGACTCTGACCATTGGTGGTACTTAACCAGGGAAAATTAGCATTTTTGGGCAACTCTGAGCTAATTTACTGTGTGAGTAATGTTGTGGGTTTTTTTGTTTTGTTTGTTTGCTTTAACTACAGTTAGAGACTCGTGCAGCGACGTCTTTTGAACAAGTCTATAATTCAGATCCGTTTGCCATGTCGTCACCAGCTCTGGAGAAAGATGTTAAGACCCAGGCTAAGAAGGCTTTAAGCTTGTTTGAGGAGGAGGAAGAAGAAAAAATGGAAGATGATGATGGCATTAAAAATGCACAGAAAGAAATTGGTGAGGTGAGTCTCGAAAAGTTCTGGAACATTATGAAATACTATTTTGCCCATTCTGCCTCTTCTAAGAGAGCTCTTGTTTTTTTTTCCTCCTCTCATACCATGCAGAATGGTCCTTCTTTATTTCTAAGCTTCCAAAGTGTGTGGGTGAAAAATTGTGCCTGCCCTTCCCTGTGATCCAAAATCCTTTTGCCTGGAAACTTTTCGCATCAAGTCTAAAGCATTTTAGTGTGTGCTCATACAAAAGAAGAAATTCTGCACTGATGTTTCAGTGTAGCTGCTTGATGTCTGCTGTACAGAACTCATTCACCAGTTACTGCTTAGGTCAGAGGAACTAGAAAGTAGGAGTTTGAAGTTGTATGTTTTATTCCTTTTCTTTGTGCATGTGTGTTTTTTATGTATGTGTGCAATCTGCTTGGTAGATATCTGCATGCAGACTAGCTTCATATAGAGGTATCTTAAATTCTATGCTTAATTCTATTTTCAGGCATGCATATAGATTTGTTTTCTTCTCCTCACACTTGCCATATTCTGGCTTTTCTGAACTAGTGGATGTCATTACATTAAGAGGTGGGCCACATCTGGCCTATAAACTTAGGAAATCCCAAGTCCTTTCAAGCCTTCCTGGAAAGCATTCAGCAAGTAACAGCCATGCAGTCAGCAAAAACCTTCTCCCCTGCATCCCTAGAGGCAGAGATGGTAAATAGTAGAGGCAGTTTCCCATGTCAGCAGAGTGCTCTAATTAAAACTTCATGTTTTAGCTAACGGTTCCTTTATATTGTAATACAAACATTTTTATGGTATGTTTTGCTAATGCAGTCAAACTTAAATATAAAACTGATGCTTAAAGTTGTGGTCTTCTCTCCTTCCAGCATTTTAAGAAAGGCAGCCGTCCCAAAAGCACTGGAGTTTTTCAAGATGAAGAGCTTCTTTTCAGTCACAAGCTTCAGAAGGACAATGATCCAGATGTTGACCTCTTTGCCAGCCCCAAGAAATCCAGGGTCAGTTCCAAACCCTTCTCTGAATCTGTTGCTTGAAAATAGTCTTTGCAATATGCAGCCTCTGAAGCTTCCAGTGTTCCTTCTTTGGACACTGCCTAAAGGATACTGACCTTCAGGGAGGGCCAAGTGCCCAGGGAGGGCTAGAATCATTTTGGGCATAGTGGGTAGTAGGACATGTGCTTTTAATCTTTTGCAACACTTTTTTTTTTTTTTTTCCTCCTGTCTCTCTTTAGTCTGCAAACCATATCATGAAGCCATCATCTGGAGGAGGACTCTTTGGGGATGATGATGAGGATGATCTCTTCAGCACTGCTAAAACAAAGCCTCTGGTATCTGCTTCTTTACTGTAAATACCTCCTGTAAAAGACTTTGGAAATAAATGTGTAGAAGGGATTTTTTTCCAAATATATTCCTGCAAGAAACGAAGTGACATGATTAACAAATCTTATCTTTTTTAAGGGAGAGAACAGAAATGACTGTTGTAACCCTGAAGACATAGGGAACAAATAGATGCAGTTGATTTCCCAAAGAAGGGATGGGAGAATTGGATTCCTTTCCTGCCATGTATGTTGCTGGGACTGACTTAGGTGTAGGAGGTTGGGCCTGAGTAGAAGTCACAGTGGTAAAATTGTATTTGTCTTACTCGGGGTCTGTCTGATTTTCTAGATGATGATTTCTTGAAGGTGGGAAAACTCCAGCTGACTCTGCTCCAGAGGGCAGTGACATTCTTTAGGCACTGTATGTGGTGTGGAATGGTAGTAGTAAATGTAAGCCTGCATTCTGCCTAGCCAAGTTGCAGATAGCTAATGGCTAGGAAACAGGTTAAAGGGCTATAAAAAAAATCATAGTCCCTTCATCAAGGCATTATGTGATCATGGGTCCCTCTGTCCACTGCAATATGAAGTAGCTTGAACCACTTCCTTAGGAGTTCAAATGAACCAGTTCTAACTTCTGCTATAGTAGCCTAACTGTATAGTTACCCTGTCAGAAGTGAGGACTGTAACAATTTACTCCCATCTCTTTCCATATGACTAACTACTTCAGGATATAGCTATGCTTTTAGCAAAAGCACCTCTGATTCACATGCTTCTATGTCTCCTAAAAGTGAATTTAGATGTTGTTTTTTAAAACAAAGTTTAGGGATAAATGGACAGTTCTACAAGGTTTATGAAGAAAACAAAATAATCTGTTCCTTCAAGACCACAACTTCTATTGAAAAAAGCCAGGGAGTAAATGTTAGTGTGTTTTTGTTTGTTTTTGTTTTCTTCCCTCAGAAGCCTTACTGGTTTATGTAGGAAGCTCTGACTGTTTATCTAGATCAAAAGCCCCAGGTCATTAGCCCAGTGGTTGAACGTTGGTCTTGAGAACAAAGCTTGTAATTGCCTGGCAATGTATCCTGAAAAGTCGACTCCCTTACAGACTATGTTCCACTCTAATTCTTTTGGCTAATAATAGTATTAAAACAATGCAATAATTCCTATGTGAGCCCTGATTTTAGGTCCAGCCCTTCTACCGAGGAAATCTAAATCTTCATTGTAAGACTTTCCATCTTTTATAGTGTTCGTGCTGATCCAGGCTCAGATCCCAGTTTTTGCTTACTTGAAAGTGATATTTCATTTGCTACTATGACTTGCCTGTCAGGCATACATGCCCAGGTCTTGGGCTGTGAGTTATGCCATTGAAATGGTTTAATTTAAGGCAATAACATGATGTTGAAATGTTCCTTATAGCTAGCTGTTACCTGAATTGTTTGGAGAGTGAGCAGCTGCAGTAATGAACTGGTGTGTATTACAGATAGCCTGAGCTCAGAGTTCTAACATATATTTTGAACTGCTACTCTAAATGTATTTAGAGTTTAACTAGATTGAGGTCATCTCTTCCTTTAACCTATTTTTTTATATCTGCAGTTGGAAGTTTGTCTAGAAAACTGGCAGTAGTTCCTGAAATTTCCTTCTTTGAGGACTGTGGAAGGAGTGGATTTAAGTAATGAGGGTTTGGCAGTTGTATATGGAGCCTGCTTGCTTGAAAATGAAGAAATAGCTTTCCTTAGTTATATTTTTTTCCTGCTGCCCTGTGTATGTAAAGTGTATGTGCATTTGGAAATTTATCCAAACTAATTTTATGTGTAATTTCCAGAAAAATAGGAGAAAAAAAAAAAGGCTGAGTTAAGTCATAAAGGGTGGGAAGGGAAGGAATAGCTCCTTGTTATTACAAAGCGAATACATAATAGCTCTGCACTGCAAAGCTAAAAGATATCTAATATTCTTTGCAAGTGAAAACAAGATTGTAAAAAGCTCTGTTTGATTTTATTTGTCCTTCAGGCCATGTTTTTCCCCTATTTGTGTTGACTTCTGGTCTTAATGCTTTCAGAAAATTCCAGAGAAGAAAACAGTTACTAAGGCCAGTACTAGCCCTTCCTTGGAAAGCAGTAACCTTCTGGAAGATGCTTCAAGTGCCAAACAAGTTGAAGCTCCAAAGGCAGAAACCACAGAGGTAAGCACCTAAATCTTGTGCCTTGAACAGCACACACAGAAAAAGGCTATGCATTATTTTATTTTACAAAAGTCTCCTGAAAAGATCAAAACTAATGTCTGACTTTATTGGTTGCAAAGCTGTAGAAATGCAACAGCATGTGGCCAAACTTGTCTCTACTTATTGTTCTCACTGAGAGGTTTAAATGTTGTTGAAATAGTCTTTTATTCACTGCCCATTCGGTTACATGACAGCAAAGTACAAACCAGTGAAGAATTAGGCTTTAGACTCGGTATGTTGGAAAGTAAGGTGTGATTTAACCCCTTGCACATTCTTCTCTGAAGCACCCGTATCTGTTGGAGTGAACGGGATCTTTAAATGACAGGTACACTTTCTCAGAAAGGAGTTCTTGACACATAGCACAAATCTGTGGTTATTGGAAATCTTATCTTGGAGGCTGTGTGATGAGCAAACGAGATTCCAACTCCTGATTTTAATCTTGCTAAGCCACACGTCTTTGGAAGTACAGCCTGGCTGTCTTTCCATACTAGCTTGTATCTCCTAAGAGCCATTTGTTTGGTTTTTCATTAAACACTTTT